CTAAGTAGAATTTGTATCTTATGTCTCTTTTTTGAGAGATTTTCAATAAATCCTTCAGCATAGTTTAAACATCCTAAAAATTTTTGTATTTGTTCTTTAGATTTTAATTCATCTGAAAAACTTTCTATCTTTTTAGATATATGAGTCTGTAATTTTATTCCTTTTCTATCTATTGTTAATCCCAAAAAGTCTATTTCTTGTTTCTCTATTATAGATTTTTTTTTTAGAAAGTACAATCCCTTCCTTTTTGCATTCATTTATGAATTGTAATAAATGACTCCTATGCTCTTTTTTATTATTAGAACATATTAGTATATCATCAATATAAACAATAAGAAAATCACTATACTTTTTGAATATATTATCCATTTTTCTTTGATATATTTGTGGTGCATTTTTTAAACCAAATGGCATAACTAACCATTCATATTTTCTTTGAGGTGTACTAAAAGCTGTATATTGTATACCATCTTCTTCCATTTTTATTTGCCAAAATCCTGATTTACAATCAAATTTGGAATAATATAAAAAGTAACCATCAAATTTAGTATATTTATTTAATTCTTTATAGTTTATTACCATTCTAGCTTTTCCTCTAACCTGCTCAGAATGTTTCATAACCATAAAAGCTGGACTACTATGAGGTCCATTACTAGGTCTAATTAACTTTTGTTCTAATAATTCTTTTATTTGAATTTTAAATTCTTGCATATCCTGTAAGGTATACATCATTGGTCTAACTCTTATTATAACATTTTCTGTTAATTCTATTTTAGCTTTAGGATGATATGGTTTCCAAAATAATAATGGGTTTTCTTCATAAATTTTTTCTAATTGTTCTATGATTTTTCTCATACTTATCTCTATTTCTGTTTTTAGGATCTTTTTATATGATAATTTTTTATTTTTTAATTCATCTTGTACTATTGGTCGTTTTTCCCATTTATCACCACGCTGGGTTGACTGAACTCTGTAGGGTCTAAATTCTCTTGGTATTTTTAATAGATGTGCACAAGATGTTTGTAACATTATCATGTAATTATTTTATTTGTAATATTGAAATTGTTGGATAAAATCATTTCCTAATAATATATCACATTCTAACTTATTGTAATTATATACTTTATTTATTATAACTTGTTTACTACTAAGTATTATATTAACTTTTTCAGCACTATCAATTATTTGAGTACTTTCTCCAGTCACTCCTGTTATCTTTATTTTACTATTTTTATTCCATGATTTTATTAAGAAATTTTTAAAAATTGTTATATCATTTCCTGTATCAATTAAGGCACAAGTTGTTATGTTTGTTTCTACTATAGTAACTTGTATATATACTGCCAATGGAAAACTAATTTGATTATTCATCCACTTCCTATTCTACATAATGTAGTTTGTCATTTATGAGTTATATATAGTCCTTCTCTTTTTATACTATAATCTTCTAATCCATTTAAGAAACTCATTCCTAATAATATATGAGGTTCAATATCCATACTTTCATCCAAATAACTTGGTACTAAAAGATCAATCCCACCTATTTTTATTGGTACTTTTACCTTTAATTCTGTAACATATAGTTATCCATCAAAATTCCTGTATTCATATGGTTCTATCTTGTAAGTCATTAATCCTTCATTTTTATTTGCAGCCATATGACATTCACCAGCTCCTGTATCTATCAATATATTTGGTCCTTTTATATACCTTCTACCATTGAAATATTTTCCTTCTATTTTCATATTTCCAATATTTCCATGAGGTTTTATTTCTTTTATACCACTAGTTTCTCCAAATATTCCTTTTTATTTGGTAGTTTAAGACTTTTTGATTTCTTTATCAACCTTCCATTATGAAATGTTATTTTATAATCTTCTTCTTCTCTTAACTCTGTTATTTCAGGCTTATTTTTAGTTATATTAAATTCATATTCTTCTGGGATAAGATTTATTTGTTTGTTTGATTCCACTATTTTACTAATATCTTTACATTTCTTATGAATTTCTATGTATGGTTTATTGGAATAAATATTCCCATAATTAGAATTGGTAAATGTATATAATGCCATATATTCCATAGTCATAATTTGATCTCCTGGTTCCATTATATCATTTCTATGTAATTTGAAATGTAATCCTAAAATTTCATTAAAGTTTTTATCTTTCAATGAGACACAATATTTTGGGTAACAAGTAAATATTAACTTTTGATATGCTAAATTTCTTTCTATAGTTCCTAAATAATCATCTTCTAAATTTATAATTCTTCCATCATGTAAACTTACAGTTAATAGTGAATCTATTCCTTCCCTAAATAAGGATTTAAACATTATTTGTATTCCTGCTAAATAAACATATTGGATCTTTTTACTATGCTTTTTACTTATTTTTGATAATAATTTTGATACTGTACTTTTCGTTAAAAGATTTATTTTATGTGTTTCCTGAGTTGTCCTAACATCTATAGTTTTTTCGATCTTATGGTATTCATTTATTGCTATTCTTTCTCTTCTCCATATTCTATCTAAAATTTTCCATTTTCCTATTTTCAAATCTAAGGATAACTTTTGTATCTTCTTGAATTTATTATTATCAAAAGTTACTTTTAATCCATAACCTTCTATTCTTTCATATTCTTGGATTTCTATATTATTGTTTTCTATTTCTTCAATTTCTCTATTCAGATTCTGATCCATTATCTTCTGAATCTACTTCACTTATAAATATTTCTTGATTATTATAATTTTCAATATCAGATATTTCACTTAGTTCGCTTTCTATTTCAAAATAATCTTTTTGTAATATTCTTACTTTTTTCTTTGTACAATCTGGACTTATATGACCTATTTCTCCACAATTCCAACATTTATATTGTTTTTTATCTTTCTTATAAGGTTTATTTTTCTGTATATTATTTTTCCTTTTATAATATTTCCTTCCAGGTTTTATGTATTTTTTCTTGAAGTTTCTATATTTTTTAAACTTTCTATTGTTATACTTTCTTTTATTTCTTTTTTCTGAATTACATCCCCATCTTGTAGGTTTTTACATATCTTCACAACATATTCTAGTTAATTTTCCTGATTTTTTCAATAATTGTCTTTGTTGGCATATATATGCAAGTCTTTCAAATAAGAATTTTATTCTTGATCCTAGTGTTCTAGGTATTCCTATATTTTCTTTAATATATTTTTCAAATTCTATTTTAAAATATATTCCCCATGATCCTGATAATTTATTATAATACATATCTTGATATACTTCTTGATTCTCATTACTATAAAATTGAGTATAATAGTAATCCTTGAATTCACAAGTATACTCTTTAATTTTACACATATCACAAATTATTAGATTAATTAACTTAACTCTTGCATTATCTTTTTCTCGTATTGCTTCTTCTTCATAATTTCTTAACCAATTTACTCCTAAGAATTCATCTGCAATATATTCTATTAATCTTTCTATTCCTAGTTTATCTGACTTTATTATTTCTATTTGTACATTTCTTTTATTAATGATTTTGTATCACTACTAATTCCTTCCCACCAATTTCTAACATTTCCTTCAAAAGATGCAATTAAAAAATCTATTATCCTTTCAGTATTTTTCCATGTATCATCTTTATTATATAAAAAGAATAACATCATTGAGTCTGCCCAAGTTATTAAGGCTTTCTTAGTATCTATTTTGCAATCTAAGTCTAATTTTGTTCCTCCATGGTTAACAGGCTTATCATAATTATTATTTAATTCAAATCTATTACTATATTTATTTCCTTTGGACGGTTGTTTCTCTTATTTTATCATAAAATTGCCTATATGGTTTATTATACATTGGAGCATAGCTTTCACCTGGATCTATTGATTCTTGTTTAGAAGTTCCTACTGGATTAGGTCCTCCTCTAGTATTCATTAAGATTTAATATTCATCATCTATACTTTCTAAACTTAAATTATCAAAATTATCTATAAGTAGATCTAATTCTTCATTCATCTTCTTTGTCTTGATTTTCTTCAATTTTTTGTTTATCTAATATTTTCTCTCTAGATTCCTCTTCTTCTATTATTTTAGGTAACATATTTTTCCTAAACTCATCATCCATGCTTCCTGTTTCTATTATTATATTTTTCCTTTTAATATGTTTTTTCCCTATTCTGGTTATTTCTTTTTCTATAAATTTTTTATCTACTCTATTATTCTTTTCTTCATTTTCTTTTAATTTTTTGACTTTAAGTTTTAATATATTTATATCATTTCTAGCTTCTTTTACTTCATTCTTAATTTCTTGTACATCATTAATTAATGTTCTTATTAAATGTTTTAGTTCTTCCATATGTTCACTGATTGACATTTTATCTATTTTTTGATTGACAATAATAAAATACTATACACTGAGCATTTTTACACTCTTTTATCATTTTATCATATTTTTGTTTTATAACTTCAGGATTTGTTAACTCTTTTAATTTTTCATAATACTTTGCTTTTTCTTTATACCTTTTTTGTTTTAACTTTAATATCTGTTTTTCTTGAATTTTAGTCATTTCTCCAGGTATTAATAATTCATCTAAAATTTTATTATTTATTAATCTTATTCTTTCTAACTTCCTTTCTAAAATATTTTTAGTTTTTTCCATTATATTTTTATGATGATTCATATATTTCTTTCTGGTATAATTCATTTTCAAATATTTCGCAAATTATTTCATATGTACGTCTATCTTTGATAAATC